GCTCTCTGAATACTTCAGTCTCATTGGTTCTGCCTCGTTACCTCAGGAAATTTATTAAACCTGTAGGGTTTCTGTGCAAGTATTCAGTTTTAGTATTTTTCCCCCTCTTCTCTAAAAGGAGAGGAATTGTCAGAGGAGCCAATCAAGGTTCATAGGGGCCTGGACTCAAGGCCAGGTTTCTTCCTCCCCTCTTAACTATAATAGAAAACAAATGCTTCCTCCAACAGCATCAGAGAAATCTGAGCGCTGTCCCACATTTCACAAGAGGAGGGATTGTAGCATTGAAGTCATGGCTATAAATATCAGCGTTAATGAAGGAGGCCTCCTAGAGACCTAAATGAATCCATTTTATCCATTTGTCATACATCAGGTTAATATGATTCTGGCAAATAATTATATTGAAAACTGGACAGAGATCGGGTGTGTTGTTATTCCTTGCGAATGTTACCTCAGAGCCTTCTGGCCCATGAAAGGGCGGTGATGCCAACACTGAAGTGCAGAGCTAAACTATAACAATTTGTGGCATTTAGACAAAGGAGCTCACAGCTCGGCACCCGCTCGGGCTCAGGCAACAGGATTGTCATTGTCTGATTCCTTAATGAGCAGAGCAGCTCCTTCATATAGATTACTGAGTTGTCAGACCTGGTGTGGATACAGGAGGACAGGGGAGAGGCAGAATGGAATACTAATATAGCTTTTCTTCCCTTTTATTTTTTTTAAAACATCGCCTATAAGAACGCTTACACAGAAGGATATGTACGTCGCGTGAGCCCTGAAAATGGGACTTCTGTTTGAATATGTCAACCGTGATGGCAGCTTCTAGTTTGACTAGAAGGATGGCTTATTCTCTCTTGGGTTAATTACAGTGGCCTCTGAGGGGAAAAGGGCTTCTTACAGAGGACGGTGGGGGGAAGGAATTATGTGGCGGTGACATTTGCCATCATCCACTTGAGTTGCCTCAAGTCCTGGCTCTGTGCTCCAGGCTAGAGGGCTGGGAGTCCCAGGAGGACTGACCTCGGGGAAGACAGTCAAGTTCAGGGGCCTTTCCGTAGACAAGGGGCTTCTCTTCCGCCTGTGGGCTGTTCGGTGCACTATCCCAAGGGGCTGCAGAGAGATAAGTCCAGCCCTTGCTCGCTCACCCGGTCTTCCTGCCATTCTTTAACCTGAACAAAGTTTCCATGAGGATCAGTAGCGGCCCTTGGCTCACCCGGCGCGGGCAGGGGCCCACTGCCTGGGCTGTTAGAGCGCCATAAAAGGACAGCTTTACTTTGCTTTCTAGGGCGCCCAAGCAAATTCCCTCTGCATTCTCCTGTCTTATCATGCTCAACCTCCTCTCAGGTGGCATAAAAAAAAGTGAGGAAAAAATGAGCTCGTAGTTACAGAGAACACATAATGGTTGCCAGAGGCAGGGTGTTGGGGGTAGGGGCAGGGGAAATGTGAGAAGGGGGTCAAAAGGTACAAACTTCCAGTTATAAGATAAATAAGTCCTAGGATGTGATAGCATACAGCATGGCAACTATAGGTAACAATACTGTATTGTATATTTGAAAGCTGCTAAGAGAGCAAATCTTTAAAATTCTCATCACAAGAAAATAAGAGTTTGACTATGTGTGTTGATAGATGTTAATTAAACTTCTTGTGTGGAACATTTTGCAGCATACGTGAGTTTTGTATCCCTGGGTTGACCAATTGCAGATCAAAAACTTAAAAATTAAAAAAAAAAAATTCTAGGAAGTTCCAAAAAGCAAAACTTGAATTTGCCACACAACTATTTACAGCGTTTACATTGTATTAGGTACCATAAGTTATCAAGAGAGGATTTAAGGTATACAGGAAGATGTGTTTAGGTTGTATGCAAATACTATATCACTTTACAGAAGGGACTTGATCTTGCATGGATTTTGATATCCAAGAGGGTTCCCACAGATACTGAGAGACAATTATAAATATATATATACATATATACACACACTGCTTAGTCACTTCAGTGTCTGACTCTGCGACCCTATGGACTGCAGCCTGCTAGGCTAACTTTGTCCACGGGATTCTCCAGGTAAGAATACTGGAGTGGGTTGCCATGTCCTTCTCCAGGGGATCTTCCTAACTCAGGGATCGAATCTGCATCTCTTACATCTCCTGCCCTGGCAGGCGGGTTCTTTACCACTAGCGCCACCTGGGAAGCCCATATAGATAGAGATATCTATATAGATATATATAGATATACAGATATAAAATCATTATGTTGTACACCTAAAACTAATATAATGTTACATGTCAATAAAAATTTACAAATTAATTCATAGGTTAATTAATATTTAAAAAGAGAGAGTAAGAAGTTACGGCTACAGTAAGAACAAAATCCCATTGGGCTCTGAGTCTGTTAGCACTGTATTTCTTTCCCTAGGAAGTACCATGTGAGTAAGAGTGCTATGAATCTTGCTTTTCCTCTGCAACTCTCTCCATCCCAGTAGCTTTTCAGCCAGGAAATGCCAGTGAGATGTTTCTTCAAATGCCCACACCAAGGCCCTCTTCCCCAATCTAAATCAACCTGGACTTTGTACAAATTGAAGCTTAGGGAAACTGCTTTAGTAAGAAAGCAACCTAGAAACTGTCTCCCACCAATCAATCAACACGGAACATGGAGACTTCAACATGGTGTTTTTCTTTGTAACATCCTGCAAAGCTGCTCTGTGTTAAATTGCTTAGCAAAATTCTCATTAAGATAACTGGTGACTTCCATGAAAATGTATGCCAGAATATTGCTATGTGGAAAAGCCTGAGTTTTTGAGGACAGCTGCTCTTTTCTGCCATTCAAAAAGTTGCCCAAAATGTGGGCTCCTCTCCAGGCCACTGAGCGCTGTCCCAAGGACCCTCTGTCAGGGTCCCTCCAGGCCCTGTGTGGTCCATTCTCCCTTCTGCCACCAACCAGTCTGAGCAGGCAGGCTTCGGTTTGAGTGGTGCACCCCCAAAAACAGAAAAAAGCCTAACTCTGAAAGCTACTCGGACCTTGAACCTAGTAATTGGAGAAAATGTCTTCCTTTTTTTCCCCCCAATCTCAAGAAAGAATAATGCCATGTATTTTTCTAAAAGAGAAGACACACAGCATAAAATAAAACCATTTTTCTCCAGCTAAGACTCCTGCTGGGTTCCCCAGCCAACTTTCTGCAGCTCATAAAATAAACCCAATTCCCATTCATCCCCCCACCTCCAAATCCATCATCACTTGGCTGTGGGCAAATGGGCAGGTGGTACTGCACAACGGGGCTTGGATGAGCTTTTTTCCTTCCTGGACGGAAGGAGGAGGATTAGCGTAAAGTCTTTTCTGTTAGTGAATGACAGGGCAGACAACTGGGAGGATCATCTGAATTTCATCCTGGAGGAATGTGCAGGGGTGATTTTCAGAACAGTTTTGCTGTCTCCATAAAGGCAACTCTGGAATTCATCATACTGGCCACCATCTCAACACATGGTCCAGACTGTCTTCGCTGGATGGAGATGAACAGCTTTGTGGTGGGGAGGGGAGGAGGAATAACTTGTGTGGGTGAAAAGTGGATCCTTGATAAACGTGCAGCCCTACTGCAAAGCATTACCTGCCTTTGGTTTCCTCGTAAATATTGAGGATTGGGGGAACTTCCATGAAGTATCCTCAGGAAAGGGCAGACATAAACCGACCTAGATTTTTCTGGAAAGTTTATAGAGCCTAAGTGTCCTCACTCGCTTGGGCCTCGGGGAGGGTTGAGAGTTGCTGGGAGCTGTAGAATGTTCTAGGTGGGAAGAGGAAGCCAGGTTGCAGCTAGGAAGTATTTCTGGATAAGCACACACTAATTCCAAAGCTGCTAAAGCTTTTCTGTGTGGGCACACACACAAAGCTGCCAGATCTTCGTGTAGCTGAGAGATGGCTATAAAGAGGTGTTGCCTGAGGAAGAGTCCCTCCTTTTAACTTCTGCAGGTCCCAAGGCCAGGTCTGGAAGCTGGAAGAGGAGCAGAGAGTTTCTGAAGGTGCTCAAGGTAGACGGCAAGTGTTCAGACTCCTGAAAAAAGGAGACGTTAGTCACAATTAACCAGTTGGGGAGGGGATTAGAATCTTGGTTGTTGTTCGCTGAGTATAGACTTGCTGAACACTTGTGATCTTTCTTTAGATGCTGTCTTGTTCCTGCAGTTTGCTCATAGGATTACTAGAGAGGAAGAGGGGGAAAGAGTGTGCGTGCTCAGTCGTGTCCGACTCTTTGTGACTCCATGGACTGTAGCCCACAGGCTCCTCTGTCCATGGAATTCTCCAGGCAAGAATTGTGCCATTTCCTCCTCCAGGGGATCTTCTCAAACCCATGTCTCCTGCGTCTGCCACATTGACATGTGGATTCTTTACTGCTGAGCCCTTAATAACTTGTTCCTCACTCCTACTTCTTTAAGAGAAGAATCAACATGTTAGGCAAGGCATTGTGCGATCAAAAGATTGGAAAGGTGTGCTTGGGCCGGAGGTTACTGAAGCCTGGAGGCACCTGGAGTAAGGGTAAATTTAAAATATTGCTTTGTTCAGGTAACAAGACAGACTGCCTTCTGCAAAGAGCCACTTACAGTGGGGGATCATCTTTTCAAATCAGCGTTTCCATTTCCTTCAGATAAATACCCCAGAATGGAATTGGTGGATCAAATATTCTTAATTCAGCTACAAATGTCTTTGCTTAGAGGGATCCACACAGTTCAGAAATGTGCGATGTTTGTGGAGAATTGTCCCTCAACAAAAGCATGTAGGTAAAGTAAAAACCCTCTTTCCTCAGTAAAGATCCCTTTAGTTATACACAGCCCTTCAAGAACATTTTGTATAACTATACCACTTTATACATAGTAGCGTTTTGGAGGGTAGAAGTAAGGGCAGTAAAGGAAAGTGTGACTGACTCCCATGTTTATTCCTCTATATTGACCACATGTGGGAAGCAACATCCTAGTAAAGAACACTGGAGTCCGGATATTCCAGACTGTGGCCATCAGTAACATGAATGGGGATCATAGTAACGGCAAGAACATGCAATGTAAAAGTACATCTGTTCCGTGAGTGACAGTGGGTGGCATGAGATAAACTCATTTTTCAGGGGATGACGGAAGAATGGGGCTTGTGAAACAGGGGAGACTTACCCTTGAACTACAAGGGTACTCTATCTGCTCCAAGGTGAGCTGGCTTGTTAAATTCTTCTCCTTGGCCCAGATAGAGGCTGGACCATCCCCAGTTAGAGGAAGCCCAGCTTGAAAATCTTGGCTCTCCACCCACCCTTTTCAGACCAAAATGCTTTTGACTTATCTGCAGATGGCTCTTTCATAACAACTGTCTCCCTGGGCTTCACTAAAAGGATGATGAAGGGTTTGTTTCTTCCAAAGGTGTGTAGGAATTCTGCCCCAAGAATACATCCCTTCTTGGCAGTTCGGCCGAGCAGTTCATCGGCACTCACCTGCCTTGGTGTCAGCTGGACTTCTCCAGGGCCGGCTGACCCTGGTGAGGTCATCAGATTGTCAAACTACAGTTAGAGTTTTCCAATCTCTGCCCAACAGCTCACTCATCACTTCTATTGTTTTTCTGTATCCATGCAGATCAATTATTCAAAGGCCTATGGTGGTGGCATTTTGGGTTCCCCACAACCCCCTCATTGGGTTTAATCAATTTTCTAGAGCAGTCACAGAACTCAGTAAACCCATTTACTCACTAGAATACCAGTTTATTGCAAAGAATATTAAAGGATGCAAATCAACAGCCAGATGAAGAGATACACAGGCAAGGTCTGGAACAAAGGAGCTCTGTCCTCTCGAAGCTGGAGCCGGTACAGTGACAGGTGGAAACACTCTGATTCCCCAACCTGGAAGCTCTCCAAATCCTCTCCTTTTGGGTTTTTATGGAGCCTTCATACATAGACATGCCTGATTGAATCATTGGCCATTGGTGATTGAACACAATCTCCAGCCTCTCTCCCCTCCCTGGAAATCAGGGGGCGAATTGAAAGCGCCTCTATTCATGGTTGGTTCCCCTAGCAACAAGCTCCCATCCTTAGGTGCTTTCCTAAAGGCACCTCATTAACATAAACCCAGTTGTAGTGGAAAGGAGTTTATTATGAATAACAAGAAACCAATTTCACCTTTATGACTGTGAAGTGATGTCAGGAACTGAAAGCAGGAGACCAAATATTATATGACAAAAGATATTCCCATTGCTCATATTGCTCAGGACATTTCACGGGTTTGAAGATCTGTGAGCTAGAAATCATGGACAAAGCCCAAATGTATATGAGAAATACATTTTGATCATCTAAAGAGCCAAATACATATTCTTACAAATTGCAATATTGCAGAGGATGAAACATTCTCATGAGGTATAAAGATGGGTCTGCTCTTCGTTTGAACCATATGAAATTTTTTTCTTGACGGTGAAGGAAGAGTTAAATCCTGGCAATTTCATATGATTCATCTAATGATTGTTCCTTCCTCAAGAGGTGATACAGGATACACTTCAACTGCCCAAGTCAACTAGACTCATTTGATTTCCATGATTTCAAGTACAGCCTACACATGGATGACTCAAGCGTGTGTCTCCAACTTCTGTCCTGAACTATCTGACATCCCCATTTGGATGTCACAAATAGAGCACAAATTTGCTGGTATATCCAGATTGAATCACCCTTCCTTCTTCTTCTCAGACATACTCACTCTATATTCTTATCGCGCTTGGCTCCAATGTCTACCCAAAGTCACCAAAATTCACCCAGGAGACTTCTCGGCTGCCCTACGTTAATCTTCCCCTCCACTTGATAGACACATATAATAATAGTATCTCTTTAGTGGTGGTCAATCTATTTCCTATTTCCCCACTGCCCTCTTTTAAGCCTTCAGAATTTCTGACTTGTATTTTAGCAACAACCTCCTAATTGTTTTCCCAGCATCCAGTTTTCTCACCCCTCCAAATTATAGGGAGTCCTTCAGAGAAATAGTTCTGAAATGGAAATATGATGGCGTTTCCTCTTCACATCTCCTGTTGCCTTTATGACAAATCTTCATGGCCCACAGGCTTTGCATCTCATGGTTCTCAAAGGAAGATGGGATCTAGCAGTATCATTCGTTTAGAGTTATCTGGGGTTTCTCAGTATCCAGGATGTTACTGACATTAAGTGGGCAAGGAACAGTGATGCTAAATATCCTGAATGAGAGACCCAATTCTGTCCAAAGAACTGTCCCATCCAAAGACCAACAGCTCTTGAGCTGAAATACACTGCTTGGCTCCTGACCCCTTCTCCAGTCTGATCTCCAGCTACTCAAACTTTTTATTGTACTAGAAGCGTCTTAAATTTCCCAGTTCTTGGAGGTATCTGTTATCTAAAGCCTCTGTCTTTATCTCTCCCTCCCTGACCCACAGATCCATGTACCAGCTTCTTAGATTGCCAGCTCCTTCCTACTTATCCATTTAGAACTCAGCTCAGATGTCATAATTCTGGGATTCCATAATTCTGGAGCTCCCTGGGCTCCGAAACCTCTAACATCTCTCTCTTACGACTGTGTGGATAGTGTATCTTCATTTTTAAGTATCTCCCAATTCTCCTGTGAGCCCTGAAGGACCAGTTTCTGTATTCCTAGCATAGAACTAATTTACTGTAGTATCTTGAATAACTTACAAATAGCAGAGCCTAGAACTAATTTACTCAAAGAACTTGTAAAACTATAGAATATCTTCCACTTTCTGCCAAGAATTTTTTGTAAATTTGAAAACTGATACAACTGCTTAGTAAAAAGTTCAAGCAGTATAAGAAGGGAGACCACATAGCATAATGGAATCGGCTCACCTGAGTTCAAATCCAGGCTTCACTGCTCTTTCCTGGCTCTCCATTTCCACACCTGGAGGGTGGAGGTAATAATAGCAGCACTATTGTATGATGATAAAGTGCAAGTGATAAACAGACTGATCTCAAGTTCCAGCTCTGCCCACTTACAATCTCTGTGAGCCTGGGCAAGTACCTTAACATTTCCATGCCTCAGTTTACACTTCCCAGGTGGCTCAGTGGTAAAAAATCTGCCTGCAATGAAGGAGACGCAGGAGATGTGGTTTCAGTCCCAGGGTCAGGAAGATCCCCTGGAGGAGGACGTGACAACCCACTCCAGTATTCTTTCCTGGAGAATCCCACAGACAGAGGAGCCTGGAAGGCTAGGGTCACAAACAGTCAGACAAGACTGAGGTGACTTAGCACACTTGTACAAACTAGAGATAATAAAATCTATCCTACAGGTATTTGGATAATTAAAGGAGATGATACATTCTTAGTACTTAGAACACAGCCTGTCATAGGGCAAGCTCTCAATAAATATTAACATTATAATATTATTATTAATAATGGCAAGAATATTATAAAGGGGTAAATATTGAAGAAGGGCCTCCCAGGTGGCACTAGTGGTAAAGAACTCACCTGCCAGTGCAGAAGATGTAAGAGATGTGGGTTCGATCCCTGAGTCGGGAAGATCCCCTGGAGGAGGCACTACAACCCACTCTAGTATTCTTGCCTGAAGAACCCCATGGACAGAGGAGCCTGGCAGGTTACACAGTCCATAGGGTCACAGAGTTGGACATGAATGAATCAACTTAGCATGCACACAGATATTGAAGACACCAGTGTCTCTTACCAACAACGACATTTATTAATATTTTATGCATTACTCCAGAAATTTTATGTGGATATCTAGTGATATATTTATAGAGTTTAAAAAACAAATAGGAGTAAATTATGCATTTCTTATTTTTCCCCATTTGCAATATGCTTAGTTAGAGACCTTTGCCTAAAAGCACATGTAGTTCTGATTATTTTCATGGCTTCATTGTATGGCAGTTCATGTTTTATTTACTAGTTCCATAATTTTTTTTACCAGCTCTCTCCACTATTGATGATTATTTCCAGTTGCTAGTTATTGCAATAAAAGTTTGCTGTTGAGTAATTACATTCATCACAGATAATTCTCTCTCTTAATAGAAGTGGAGTTGCTCAGTCATGTCCGACTACCAGGCTTCTCTGTCCATGGGATTTTCCAGGCAATAGTACTGGTGTGGGCTGCCATTTCCTTCTCCAGGGGATCTTCCCGACCCAGGGATCGAACCCGGGTCTCCCGCATCGTAGGCAGACGCTTTACCGTCTGAGCCACCAGATGGGAAGTCCTTAATAGAAGGCAGTCTCAATTACTCCCCCAAATATCAAGGCTTTCAGACTCCCAGCTTACTCAGCGATCTCCTACATTGTCCCATGAAAATGTCCTGGGGCCATTTAGTCTCCAACTCGACTCTTTTTACAAGGCCTCTTACCAGACCGTCCTCCACCCCTGCAGGCCTTGTAGTCTTTGGGATCCATAAAACCTGAGTTTTCACCAGTTAATACTTACAAGTAACTGATTACTACTATTAAAAATGACCAAAGAAAACAATTTAGGTGATACAAGCAAACTTTATTTAGCACTTCATGAAATAAACAGTCTCCTTTTGGAGAATTTTAAATTGGTGTGGGTGGGAGGCAGGAAGTTTTACAGGATAAAGAGGAACAAGGAAGTATGGGGAGAGTCCAGAGTTGGCTTTGTGTTTGGGAAACTGCCTTTCTGGTCAAGTGTAGCATTTCCCAGGGACAAAATATTGAGTTGCTGACATGGCATCCTCTGCAGAAGCAGCTTCATCTTGGGTCAAGACACTTGTTTTTATTTCAACCCTACACAGGAAGAATAATGTGAAACTGTATGTTCACAGATGATGGCAGCTGGGCAGAAGAGGGGGGAAAGTCCCTTCATTTTTCTACCAGGGGAAATGATTTATAACTGTCAGAAATCTGACAAAAAAGTTAGAAGTACATAAAATCCATTATATAAATTATAAAATGTAAGTCATGACTCTATTTGTTTTGTGACAACTTAAAAAATGATTAATTTTCATCAAAATAGAAAATAAGTATGAATCACTACAATATCCAAGTGGTTGTTTCCACTTCCTCCCTCCGCTGCAGACGTTATACTCACCCTGTGCCTGTGGATGGAGTTCCGCACCGGACGTGGAGGAGGCTGGAGAGGGTGGAGGGCAGGCAGAGAGGATCCAGATGGAAGAGATGGGAAAATGTCAGAGAGAAATTTCCCTCATGTCCCCATTTCTCCCAGAGCTGTGTCTGCCTGGGACTTTACAATGAAAATGGTTCAGAAAAGAAGCCCAATAGAGGGGGGAAAAAAACTCTTTTGTGACGCTCTCCAGGCGTGGACATGTCTGAAAAGCTCAGCTGTGTGGGTCTACAGTCACCCACGTCCAATCAGCACAAAGACTGAGACGATAGACCTCCTTCACAGAAATTTCTGGAACCCAGGCATCTTTTCAGAAACAGAAGTCACCTGAAACATGCAGTTCCTCTCTGGAGGATCTGTTCATCACAGCCCTATGTGTTACTAACTGTCAGTTGGAGAAGCAAAGACAGGAGTCAGCACCACATCCTGGGATCTGTCTTCTGGGGATTTCAGGAGACACCAAGGGAGCGGGGTGAGCTATGGGGAAAACTTCGCACATTTGCCCAGGAGGAGCCATTCATCTTGCTACTGTATTTTGTGCAGAATGAACCATTTCTCAACCAGACCACAGGTTTCCCCACGTTTATTCCTACTGGTAGTCCTTTTTTGCACAATCAGTCAGGTGGGCTGAGTTCGTCCCAGTATCTGGGACTAGCCGGGTGATCCCAGTGTCTGCAAATGCCAGGTGTACTTCTTTTAAATCCTGGACTGTGTTTCACAGGACGAGGCCAAGCCTCCATCCAGAAGGTTCTGCCTGGCAAGTAAGCCAGGGGCTGCACCTGCGCTGCGGCAAGCTGGGCTGCGAGCAGACAGCCGGAGAGTCCCCATGCATGTCCACGAGGTGAGCCGGGGTCAGGCAGTGGAAAAGCATGGGATGGACAGTTTCTAGCCACTCTCCTTACTAGTCCTGTGACTTCTTTCTCATAGTCAGGACTCGAGGCATCATTAGCGGTTATCACGGATGAGTATTACTGGTCAAATATCACCAGAACTAAGGCACTGTTTTCCTCTTGTCCCTTGCGACTCATGGTGCCTTTGTACACCAGGTTCATCTTCATCTGGAAGCTTATTAGAAATGCAGATTCTCAAGCCCCAGTCCAGAACAATGGAGTCAGAGTCTACATTTTCTCCAGACCCCAGGAAGTTCCCATATGCACAGTCTAAGCGGTCCTGCAGTCTAGTGGTCAAACTCCTGCCTCCCTGAAAGGGCCAGCCCACTCTCTCTGCTTTATTCAGGAGGACCGTCTCTCCGAGGGCTCTCCGTGTGGCGAACGCTCCTCCTACCACCTAAATCTGGACAGATGGTCACATCAAACGTGAACTGACTTGATGAGAGCAGCGGGACAGAATGTTTGACACTGAGACTGACCTTCACCATATTTAAGTCTTTTCCTAGCCGTTTTGCTTTCCTCTTTCTGAAAAGGATAGAGAATTATTTCAAAACAGTCCGCCTCCTCAGTCGAGTCGTGGATGAGGCTGTATGGTGGTTTTTATAAAATTTTCTGTCAAAGTGTTTATTTCAAGGGGAAAGAGTCCCTACCAGACACACGAGAGGAAAATGCCCCCTTTCCACGCAGCTTCCAGAGGTCAGCTGCTGCAGCGACAGAGCTGGTCTGTGCGCCCACCGTACCTCCCCCTTCGGGGAAGGTCACAGGTCTAAGTGCATTTTTCTTACATAGGCACAAGCAGGACACTGGGCCGTTTGAAGCTGAACTGCAATGCATTCTTATAGCAACTCTTCGTCAGGACCCGCCAAATCAGAGGCAGAGGCGGATGCTGCTCCTAAGGCCCTGAGTTCCTAATCCGAGGCCTCTGTTGACCATCAGTGACACCATGGGGGCTCTGCTTGGAATCAGCAGTGCCGCCTGAACTGTGAGTTGTGGCTTGGAGGCTGTGAGCAAATAGAGATTTCAATCAAGTGTGGTTTAAGTTTCCAATTTTTCCCGTTTTCTATCTGAAAAAAAAAAAGTCTATGTCTACTGAGTGCAAACTGCAGCAGGAGTGACCTTCATCACATACCCTTGACCAAGAGCCGGACAGTTCGTGGGCAGCATGGGAATTGCTCTGAGATCCCTGGAATCATGGGAATTGCCCTGAGACCAGTGGAATCAAGGCAGGAGTTGGCTCTGGGCTCTGAAGGCAGAAAGACACGTCAACTGGGCGCTGATCACTTGCAGGTACTAGGAATCGAGCTCACACCAGCTCGGATTAGCTTAGTAACCGGGACGAGTGCTGGGTGGCTCACAAGTAGAAGAGAGGATTGAGAACCAGGGTGTTGGGAGACCTAATGCTTCCAGGCACTACTTCTTTCCTTACTGTGTGTGTGTGAGTATACTCAGGCTGGCATCCTCTTTGCCACTAGAGATGATTGCTGCGAGGTGCTTTTTGACTTGTTTTTCCCTTGCGTGACGCTAAAGGGTCAGCAAATTTATTGGCCTGGTGGCCTGTTTTTGTATGCCCCCAACTCCACACATGGCAGACTTGGAATGGTTTTAAATTTTTCAAGAGCTGTGGGACAGCAAACAAAGAAGGCCATGAGACAGGATGTTCTGTGAGCTGCAAAGCCTAAAATATTATGAATATTTACTATTTGGCCCTTCACAGAAGAAATGTTCTGACTCCTGAAGGCAGAGAGTTTCTCCCCGCCTCCACCAGTTGCAGCAGAAACGGCCCTGAGAGGCACACGCATTCCTGTGGCCACCGCAGGTCCGTGCTGGGCTGAGAGGTCCGGGGCTCTGATGGACCCGGCTCATGCGGCTCCTGGGTGCCGGGGGGCAGGATCGCTCTTCCAGGCAAAAGCAGGTTGCAGCCCCCAAAAGAAAAAGGGAGAATTAGGCAAGTCAACCAACAGGTACGGGTGGGAAACAGACGACTCTCTGATTTAACAAAGGGCTGATTCCAAAGGTGTGGGCGGTGCCACGGGAGGGAAGAGAAGGCTGGAACAAGGCCCGGGGAGGGCCTTTAGGGGGCCAGGGAGGGAACCTGCAGCTAAATCTACAGGAGCTGTGACCCTGAGATCATCACCAGACCGGAGAGGGAGGAGAACGTAAGGGCTGACTGCCGCCTGACCTGCTGCCGGGAGGTCACCTCCCCAGCCTCAGTCCCGCCCTCCAGCCGCCCACCCTGCCCCCGCGCCCGCCGCTCCAACCAGAAGCCTCGGACACAGCCTAGAAGTCAGCCTCCTGAGCCCGTTGAGAAGGGTCGGGAGCGGGTTGGGAGGGGCAGATGGAGACAATGCAGACAGCCCACTGCGGGAGCAAGTTTCTACCGGACTCCAGGCTGGGCCGCCCTCCCGGGCTGATGGCCTGGGCTGTCAGGGGAACCCGGGTAAAACGAACCCAAAACTGGCCCCGGGCCCCGCCAACCCCCGCCCCAAAGTCCTAAATTTTAAACAAGCCCCACCACGTCATCATGCACCAAGCACCCCAGAAGACACAACAACCACGCACCACACGATCATCACGACGGGATGACAACAAGTCCTTTCATCTCTTCTGCCATAGGTTTCCCGATCTGTAGAGTGATCTGAGAGACATCTTCCTCTCAGGGGTGAAGGGCAAGTGAGGTCTGTGTGTGAAGGGCCTGCTGGACAGGGTGAGCCGCCAGCCGGGAAGTCCTTCCCCTCCCAAAGTGGTTCTTCCTCCATGTTCCTTAGCCATGGATCTTGACCGCTCTGGGCAACTTAGGCAAGAAGACAGTGAAAAGTGAAAGTGAAGTCGCTCAGTCGTGTCTGACTCTTTGCGACCCCATGGACTGTAGCCGATGAGGTTCCTCCATCCATGGAACTTTCCCGGCAAGAGTACTGGAGTGGGTTGCCATTTCCTTCTCCAAGGGATCTTCCCGACCCAGGGATCGAATCTGGGTCTTCTGCATCGCAGGTAGATGCTTTTACCGTCTGAACCACCAGGCAACTCCGGCAAGAAGAAGGGACCCTAAAATGCAACCCAGCTAGAAAGATTCCTGGCCTTCTCAGGAGCTGACCAGGAGGGAAGAAGTGAGAGAGGAGGGGAGGGCTGGGTGGCTGTTTGGCCACTAGTCATTCAGAGGCCACTGGAATAACCCTGACAACCCCCTGGTTCCTTTGTCTGACATGAGGAAACTGGAGGCCATAAATACCCCAAACTTTGCCCAAGTCACAGATATGGTGAATAGCAGAGCTTGACCTCAACTCAGAACTTTTGGGGCCAAGTCCAGGAAGCTCTTAACTCCCTACTATTAACAAGGAGACCCTTAGACGGTGGGGGCTCTGATGGCCCCACCCATGTAAGCAAACCCAGTTCTAAGCATGGAAATGTCTTGGGGTTACCAAATCAAAACTCAAAGGACAATCGGTCACAAATGAGCAAGTCAGCTTTTGGCTACAACCAATCAGTACTTTCTTGTGGTTCATTGGTTAAGGCTCTGCCTGTTCACTAACACGGCGCAGGTTTGATCCCTGGTTGGGGAACTAAGATTCCCACATGCCCCTCTGATTGGCCAAATTTTTTAAAATAAATAAATAAAATAAGGTGCAGCCAATCAAATCATTTCCTTTATTTGCTTCTTCACTTTTCCTATATAAGTCTTTCCCCCTGACCTCTTTGAGTTCGGCACTGCCCTATTACAATGAATAAATGCTCAAATCAACTCTTAAAATGTTTAATATACCTCAGCTTATCTTTTAACAGAATGCATTTATACCCGCACCAGAAACTGGGCATGATTTGACTTCAAGTTCATTGATAATCTGACTTTTTCCTCTCTTCCTTCCCCAAGAAATCCCCTCCTTTCTTCCTCTAAACTCTGGCTTTTATTTCCTCGAGGGTGTGTACTAGCACCATGGGCCTTGAACCAAAGGGCCTTGGTACTCTGATGAAGCCTCTGACAGGGGGCCCTGAATATGTCTCAGTGCTGAATGGAATCTGGATAAAAATTTCATTTTTTCCACGTCAGAACTGGGCTCCAAATGGTCAATGTCTTGTGAGTCTCTTTAAGGTGAAATAATTCTATTCTTCCCGACTCAGATTTTCTGCCTGCTTATTATACCTAAAGGCTTTTCCAATTCTCGTCAAGTAGTTTTTTATGCAAAATTGTCTTATATCCCACAGCAAGCTTTAATCTGGTGAAGACAGTCTGCTTCTCCTGGCAACGCTGTGGATACTAGATGAATGGGGGGTCAGCTGGATAGCTTGAAGAGAAGCCTTGGTAATCTGTTCAACAACGCTGGGAATTTTCCGAAGAATGTTTAGCAAAGATACTACAGTTGGAAATGAATAGGAAGGGTTTTGTTCGCAAGCTCTGCCTCACTATTGGATTCGAAGAGTGTTCGGCCCCAGAAAAGAACATCAATGTCTTACTTGGAAATTAAACACACACACACACAAAAGCCTTCTTTTCTGCCCACATTGAGCTTTGCTTAACTCTAGAAAAGTTTGTCATGCCTGCAAATATGTATGTTTGCCTTTGAGCCAAAGCAAACGCTATGGAGAAACAAAAATACCACATCTTTTGTCTTTGGGAAAATGAATTGTCAAGGACTGTACTTCAGAAAGATCATCAAAAGACCAAAATGATTCTGCAGAATGAGTTCTGGGAGCTTGGACTGTGGAATGGGAGTCAGAGCCCCCTGTTTCTGACCTTAGGGAGGCATTTAAGCTCTTTGTACCTTTATTCCTCTATTTGAAAATCGAGGATAATACCTGCTGCCTACTTAACCTTAAAGGGATATGTGAGGATTAGTCAATTAAAGTTTGGCAAATGCTTGGAAACCAATGGAGGGGGAAATCTATATGAACATAAAGCGTTATTAACATCCCCCCTCTTCCTTTTTCTCTTCCAAAGGATTGCAGTCCTGGGAGATGTGGTGAACATTTCTTGTGGTTTTGCTTCCCGTTGCTTTTGTGGAAAGGGGCTTTTTCATTTTATCAGCCACTTGTTAAATGGTTTGTTTGAAAGTCATCCTGTCTGTATCATCAAGGGGAGGTTTCCAGACATCTTAGTGCCACTATGTCACTCCTGGCAAAGCTTCTACTGTGTTCATCTTTAGGATCCTGAAGAAAGGCAAAAACAACCATTTTCAGGTAAAATCGTAAGTATAATTTGTAAAAAGTTGCCATTAGTAATGCAAAGTTAGTGAAGTATAAAAATTAAGTCAATTTAGAGCTTTTAATACAATCCTTAAAGAAATTCCCCCTTTTAACTAAAATAGTGAGAATACTTTATATTTGTAAACATTGCCCCTCTGGTTCTTACAACTACCTATAAAATGAGTATAGCACAAATTGATCATATTATACTCACTTTAGAGATGAAAAAATTGAAATGCAAAGAGGCTAAGTGATGTTTCCCAAAATAATTTAGCTAAGAAATGGGAAAGCCAGAACTAGACTCTATATTTATATAAGACTTTATAATATAAGATTCTGGTTCCTAGGGCAGCAGATTTTCCCTGGCTGCTATTTTTTTTACTATAGACCAAATGATGCCAAGCGGTGTTAAAAGCCCAAATACTGTTGCTTTGGTTCTGCACCACCAAACGGCTAGGTTCTGGCACCACCGACCTGGAGATAGCATCAGAGCTCACAAGCTGCGTTGTCCTACAAGACGGCACCTCTTCCCGCTACTTCAGAGGCCAATCCAAAGTCCAGGTTGTCACCCATGCTCATGTTTGGAGATTCCAATGACCCCCCTCCTCAGCTCAGTTCAGTCGCTCAGTCGTGTCCAACTCTTGGTCATCTCATGGACTGCAGCACGCTAGGCCTCCCTGTCCATCACCAACTCCCGGAGCTTGCTCAAACTCATGTCCCTTGAGACAGTGATACCATCCAGCCATCTCATCCTCTGTCATCCCCTTCTTCTCCCACCTTCAATCTTTCCCAGCATCAGGGTCTTTTCCAATA